GAGACTGAAAATTTATTAACTTCTTTTGAACTACTGCCTATTTATACTATTCTGAAAATGTATGATCTTTTACATTATTGACTGAATTTGAAAGTGGAAGTGAATTATAGAAACTTAAAGCTAAGCTAGTAATTCAGAGAAGTTGTAATGGATTGCTTCCTATGCTCTAAATGAGAAAACTGAGAGAGAGTCAGAGAGATGAACTGAATTGGCCAAAAACTCAGCTACTTAATTGCAGTACTGAGACTAAGGCCATATAGTCAGGCAGCGGAAATCCTCATCTCTTTTATTTCTTTTTTCTTTTTTAAGAGTTATTTTATTTATCTTTATTTTAATTTGACCAGAGAGGAAGAGAGAGGAAAGTGAGAAAACAAGCTGCCAGGTCCAGGACTCAAACCATGGTTGCCTGTATGGGAGTCCAGTGCCCTTAACCACCATGCTACCTGCCGGCCCCATTTTTTTTTTTTCCTAATAGGAATTTCAGGGAACTCGAGGCGGCATTATCACTCTCTGGGTCTCATGTAGCACCCTCTTCCCAGTCAGCCACCAGTATCATGGCATGCGTGACCTGCCTAAGTAGATCAACTGAAGGATCCTGTAATCTTTTATATGGATCTAGCATTGTTAAGTCACGTTTTATAGTTGTGCCAAGTTTCTTTCTTTCTTTCTTTCTTTCTTTCTTTCTTTCTTTCTTTCTTTCTTTCTTTCTTTCTTTCTTTCTTTCTTTCTTTCTTTCTTTCTTTCTTCTTTAAATTTTCCAGAGGGCATGTGGACTTGCCAGAGAGAGAGAGACAGAGAGGGAGAGGGAGAAAGCGCCTTCTGATGGGGCATGGTCACACTACAATTCTTTCTCTTCCATCCCTCCATCATGTTGGAATTTGGGGCATGCACACACATGTAACAGGTGTGTTTTTCAAGTGGTCATGGCTGGCAATCTAACTGCTTGGTCTGCCATGTGAAATCTGGCATTCTTAATTATTAGGGCAAAGGGCTGGACCATGAATTTCTTGAATTTGAGATTTTCTTCTCTCTGAGTTTGTCTTTTGTGATGTTACTGTAGGTCTTTGTAGAGAGAAAAACAAAACCCAAACAAAAAAAACAAGATGGTTTACTTAGAACTAGACTTACTAGTGACCTAATTTCGATGTATTGCTGAGTCAGGAGGTACTGAATTTGAAACTGAAGTTGTCCAGTGAATAATACCACCTTATGCCATTTATATCAAGGAGCTTTCAATGATTCTTCCCATTCTCTAATTTTAAGGAATATAGATGTCTTTGCATGGAAATTTTTCTTATTTTTCCTTTGAAAAAGGAAAAGAACTTTTTTGAGATTAGTTGAAATGCCAATGGTAGATTTTGTTTTATATATTCCAAATAGTTCCTTCAAGGCCAGTGGTTATTCTGTAACTTTTCTTGTCAAAACAGGGATTGTTTGGAATTTCTTTGATAATCTGCCTTTATTTCAAAGAAAGGAGAATGAATCTAGATTGCAATGCCTTTTCAGAAGGAAGTGTTCAGAATCTTTTCTGGAAGCTATGTATTTCTCTGTGGTTACTACTGACTGAGCTTTGGCGAGTGGTACTGACCTTTTGAGGAGAATATATATTCTTTTTTTTTTTTTGTAAGTTTATTTAGTCCATGTGAGAGAGACACAGAAAAAGAGACACAAAGAGAGAGAGAGAGAGAGAGATAGCATCCCTAACAGGGTCTTAATGTCATGTATCCCCAGCCAGCTCAGATCATGGGTACAGATGAGCCCAGCATACTTAGGGAAGTTTCTGGAAGTGATCTAGTAACCTTTCCATGGAGGTCTGACTTGCAGAGCATTATAATTACTGTTGTGCTATTGTCATGCCCCTGAGAAGGTGATTTCTGATCCACAGGATCAGGAAAGCAATTCACAAATAATCAGAGAACCAGGAAATGTTGGCAATGAGCAAACATGTATTTTGTTGAACAAACGTCAAAGATCAAAGAGATCTTAGAGATAGTTTTAGTCATTCTCTAGTCAATGAATATTACTTACTGCCTACTACATGGTATACCTGGCACCGTTCTAGAAGTATAGTGGTTAATATGGCAGAAAAACTTGAATTTATAATTCAATTTGAGGGTGGTAGTAAGGAAAGAGACATCAAACCATGCACAGCAGAGATATAAGGGATGAGAATTATTAGCAAAAGAACAGTGAAAGAAAACCCTTAAGGTAAGAAAAAACAAACAAACAAGCCAGTATAACTGGAGCATAGAAGATGGAGGATGATGGGGTTTAGGGATGGAGATTGGAGAGAAGAGAGAAATAAGGGTAGAGAGATAAAGACCATGATGAAGATTCAGACTTTATTTATTTATCTTTTTTAGCCCTTGGAGAGAGTGAAGCAGGAGGATAACATCTGAATTATTGCTTTAAAAAGATCATTTTAACTGCTGGGAGTGTCTGTATTGGTACTGGGTTAGCGAGGGAGATGGGAAGTATAGATTGGAGACTGTTGGGAGGCAGTGTGGCAATGATTTGAACTAGAATTTTAGTGGAAATGGTGGGATATGGTCAGTTTTAAGGCATGTTTTAGAGTAAATTGTTCAATTCAGTTGTTACTAATGGACTGGATTTGAGGGGTATATGACGGAAAGAGATTAGGAGTGTTTCTTGGAATTTTGGCTTGAGCACCTGGTTAACACAGTTACCTGTGGTAGGGTGAGTGGGTGATTGGGAAATTTGGGATAGAAGAGGTTCGAGAGTGGAAATAGGTTGCTGCTAAAGGATTTTTTCTCCTCCCCCTCTGTGTTAAACTTGAGATAGCGTTTCAAAATTCAATTGTTTTTGTTAAATAATAGCTGGATATTTGAGTGCTTAGGGAAGTGCTTTGAATTGTATGTCAGTGCTGTATAGATGGTATTTTAAAAAATTAATTAATTAATTAATTAAAATTTGACCAGAGAGGGACAGAGTGAGTGAGAGAGAGAGGGAAAACAGTGAAACAAAACCCTTAAGGTAAGAAAAAACAAACAAACAAGCCAGTATAACTGGAGCATAGAAGATGGAGGATGATGGGGTTTAGGGATGGAGATTGGAGAGAAGAGAGAAATAAGGGTAGAGAGATAAAGACCATGATGAAGATTCAGACTTTATTTATTTATCTTTTTTAGCCCTTGGAGAGAGTGAAGCAGGAGGATAACATCTGAATTATTGCTTTAAAAAGATCATTTTAACTGCTGGGAGTGTCTGTATTGGTACTGGGTTAGCGAGGGAGATGGGAAGTATAGATTGGAGACTGTTGGGAGGCAGTGTGGCAATGATTTGAACTAGAATTTTAGTGGAAATGGTGGGATATGGTCAGTTTTAAGGCATGTTTTAGAGTAAATTGTTCAATTCAGTTGTTACTAATGGACTGGATTTGAGGGGTATATGACGGAAAGAGATTAGGAGTGTTTCTTGGAATTTTGGCTTGAGCACCTGGTTAACACAGTTACCTGTGGTAGGGTGAGTGGGTGATTGGGAAATTTGGGATAGAAGAGGTTCGAGAGTGGAAATAGGTTGCTGCTAAAGGATTTTTTCTCCTCCCCCTCTGTGTTAAACTTGAGATAGCGTTTCAAAATTCAATTGTTTTTGTTAAATAATAGCTGGATATTTGAGTGCTTAGGGAAGTGCTTTGAATTGTATGTCAGTGCTGTATAGATGGTATTTTAAAAAATTAATTAATTAATTAATTAAAATTTGACCAGAGAGGGACAGAGTGAGTGAGAGAGAGAGGGAAAGTGAGAAAGCAAGCTTCCAGATCCAGGAATCAAACTGTGATCCGCCATTAACCAAAGCCTTTAACCACTGTGCCACCTGTTGGCTCCTATAGGTGGTATTTTAAAGCCATGGGATTAGATTGTGTTGCTCAGTGAAAAAAAAGAGATTTTAGGGGTACTTAGAAATGTCACAGAGGAGAAGGAGAAGAGAAAGGAGGTTGAAAAAACATGTCAGTAAAAGGTTAAAAACCATTGAAGTACGGTATAATTGAAGTCTACAGAAGAGGAGACTATCAGACCATAGTAGATGCTGCTATTAGGTGGAGTAAGATGAATACTTACTCTTGTAAGGTGAGGAAATGAGGAGGTGAAGATTAGAAAAGGAGTTTTCCTGTAAAGGGGAGCAGAAAAATAAGGAGGTAGCTGGAGGGCGAGGTGTTGTTAAGATATGTTTATAAACTCATGAGAATGATCTATTAGAGAGGGAAAATATGCAAATTGTGTATGATTTCGGTAGTGATATCCTTGAGACAGCAAGGATTGACAGCAGATAAGAGTCTGGGAATATTTTTGTTGTTACAGGAGAATGGACTGAAGTAGGGTTACAGATGTGTGAGTAGGTTGGTTGATTTTGGTGGGGAAAGGAGATATTTCTCTGTGTCCTTTTTATTTTTTATTTTTTTATTTATTATTTTTTTCGTAAAGTATGTAATCAGATCAGCAGCTGAGAGGGAGTGGGTGAACATTGGAGAAGAGGAGAAGAAGATTCCCATACATAGATAATTTGGAGAGTATAATGTGATTTTTTTATTGGGGGGGGGACAGTTTTAGTACAATTATCTAGAGGTTTTGAATGTCTATTTTAGATTTGTAATGACATAGCTATACTGAGTCTAGCTATATGATTTTTCTCTAACAGTTCAATTTCTTGGGTATGGTCCTAGAATAACGGGCTAATTTGCCTTAACAAAATTGGATTTTTCTAGACTAGTTGAGAAGAAAAGTACAAGGAACCTTCAGTCCTTTTACTTTATGATGAGAATTCTGTGATGAATATTGCCAAACATTCAAATATTTTGAATGCAGGAGAATGCAAAATTTTGGGTTGTCCTAAAAATGTTCATTTAACATGAATACATTTGGATTTCTTTGTGACTTATGCTCCTTGAATACCTCATTTTCAAGGAAATTTGCTTTTGGGTTTGTAATTCTGTTTCTTTTTAGAAGTAACTGTGGGGTGATCTTCATGTTATCTTTTTAAAGGTCTGTCTACGATGGTGAGGAACATGGGCGGTTCATGGAGAAACTTGAAACTCGCATCCGCAATCATGACCGAGAAATCGAGAAAATGTGCAACTTTCATTACCAGGGCTTTGTGGACTCCATAACCGAACTGCTGAAAGTGAGAGGAGAAGCCCAAAAACTCAAAGTAAGGCAATTCTTGTTTCTCTCTCCCATGCTGGGATTTTGATGGCATTACAGCATTGGAGTTGCATTGCTGGTTACATATTTATACTGAAGATTATTATGCAGTAAGAAAGGAAGTTATACTGAAACCCAGATCATTGAGATTATGACTAGTAAGTTAAAAAATCCTTCTAAGACAGTGTTTAATTGGAATAACTACGTGTGGATCAGAATCTGTGCTTGGTAATTGTTCCTTTTCAATTCATTTTAACTCTTTATGTTATCTGCTTCCTTGCTTGACACAAGCTGTTACTCTGCAGATAGAATTTCAGGATGTTGCTATAGATTTCTTTGCAGCATGGCATCTAGATCAAAAGACAGAAAAAACCAATAGTAAGTAGTTGCAGAAGGATTTCTATCAAAACATGAAGGTTCTTTCTTGGGACAGATTCAGGTTCTGGAAGGAGGCCAGTCACATTTGGTGTGATCCTTGGTCTAGCACATTCACTTATCTTGGATAACAGATTTTGTTTATTGATCTTAAATCTAACTGCTTTACTAAATTCATTTATTGCATCTAGTAATTTATGTGTAGTTTTTTGAGTTTCCTATTGATAAAAACTTCTCATGTGATCTGTAACTAATACTTTTATTTTTCTATTTCTTTTAATATTTTTTTCTTATTGGAATTAGAATTAAAATCCTACAAGGATTGTCCTAGGTATGATATTAACTTGCCCAGGAAAATTCATCTAAAGAATATATTGGTAAGAAAAGCAAAGAAATAATTTTATTGAGAGGCTAAGTTGGCTGTTAGGTCTTATAATCTAAAGCTCCCATAAATTAAAAACTCAATTTTACTGCAAAACATGACTTAAATGTACCTTAGACTATTAAATTTATTAATTTATTTTAGTTAGTATAGATTTTTGTGTTTTGCTACAGAAGTATTAATGTTTTTTATTGTGGGGTGTTTTCCTAATCCCCAGTGGGAGATGTTATATAATATACAATAATATACAATGTGTGTCTTATCTTTAAAAAATCTCCAGAATTAAGTCAAAAATATATTGGATCCTGCATTTTTTTTTTTTTAATAATTTTTTTTGCCATCACGTGCATGTGCTTGCTGGAGGGAGAAAGAGACAGAAAGAGGGAAAGTGAGAAATTACCCCTCAACAAGAATAGCCACCTTGCAATTCCTTCTCCTTCATTTGCCTCTCGGGATTTTGGGCATATACCATACATACTTAGCGTCACTTTCAAGCTGCTGGGTCTGGGACTCAAACTGTGGTCGACCACATGGGAATCTGATGCCTTAACCACCATGCCACCTGCTAGTCCCCTTTTGTAGTTTTTTCTTTTCTTTTCTTTTTTTTTTTTTTGCCATAGTGTATGTGTGCTCACCAGAGACAGAGAAAGTGAATAATCACCCTCTCTGGGGGCATGGCCATTCTGCAATTCCTTCTCCATTTTGCTCTTAGGATTTTGGGCACACATGCACACTCACCTGGTGTGTTTTTCAGGATGCTGGGTCCTGAAAACCATGGAATTGGCCACGTGGAATCCAGGGCCTTACTGACCATACCACTTGCTGGCCCTCAGTCTCACTTTTTAAAAATGTTTATAAGGTGGCTATAGTGGTTAAGGCATGGTGATTAAGGTGGTGGACTCCCACTGGCTGACTGCTGTTTGAGTGCCATAACTGGTAGCTTGTGTGCATGTGTGCCCTCTAGCAAATTAAAAAATAGTAACAATGATAAATAAAATTAAGTAAATAATTCTTTAAAAAGATAAAAAAGTTTATGAACCTACATAACGGTATCTGGTCATCTTAAGAAATATAATATTGCCAATACAATTAAATGCCACTTTTTTACCCTCTCAGCTGATTTTTTTCCACCAAGTGGTATGAATTTTTGAAATTTTGAAAGCATATTTAATTTAATTAATACAGTTCCAAAATTTGGCCAGAGAGAGATACAGAAAAAGAGAGGGAAAGTGAGAAAGCAGAGTACCAGGTCCAGGACTTAAACTGTGGTCAGCCCTTTGGGAGCCCAGAGCCTTAACCACCACACCACCTGCTGCCCCCTGCTTGCCCATATTCGTTAATGCTTAACTATTTTAACTTAAAGTAACTAATATCCTGTACCCATTTAAATACCAAATTAATTTCAGAGGAACTAAAAGGTTAAATGTAAAAAAGAAAAAGAAACTAGTAGGAAATACAGGTGAATATATGATTTTGGAAGTAGGAAACACATTTCTAAGCCAAATTCCTAAACTAGAAAGAAAAAAAATTGATTGATATGACTTTAAAATGAAAGAAACTATTTCTACACATAAATTAAAAATTAAAAAGCACGCCAACTGGTGGCATAGTAGTTATGGTAGCTGGATCTAACATGATAGACTGTATAGTTCAGTCTCAGACCCTGGGGCTTGAGAAACACACTGGACCTGTGTATGTGCATGCCCCAAATTCTGAAACAAGAAATGGAGAAGAAATTACAGTGTGATCATTGCTCATAGGGGGAGCTTTCTCACTTTCCTTTTCTCTCTTTCTTTCATTCTGTGAACATATGTACCCTCTAGCAAAATAACCAAAACAAACAAACAAACAAAAGAAGAACAAATAGTAAGTAAAAAATATTTGCAAATACATATGGTAAATATATGGCAAATGATTGATATCCTTAATATATAAAGATTCTTTACACATTAATGGGAACAATGAACAGTTTAGTAGAATACTAAAATTACATGTTAACACACAGTTTACATAAGGAGAAATACAAAGGGAGCTTTACAATTTAGAAATAATTAAAGGAATACAAGTATTAACAATAAGGTGCCACTTAATAAAATGATGGTAAAGATGAAAAAAAATTAAAATTGGTGATGATAACGAAATTGGAATGCCTGATTAGAATCTAGATCGGTGCAGCCTTTGAGAAGAGCAACTTGTTAATAGTTATCTATACTTAAATCTTCACATAATTTTTTAAAGGTTGTTAGTGCATGCAAGGAAGTGCATGTGATATTTTTTATAATAGGTAAAACTCAAAACTGTCCCTAAAAATCATTTAATAGAAAACTATTAAAAAATATGATATTACATCCATTTGAAAGAATAATAAACTTCACATGGAAAGTATTAAAAATGTTTGCTTAATGTATAAGGCAGATTAAAAATATGAACAATATCTTATTTTTATAAAGTAAATATGCACATATTTTAAAATGTACACAATAGTCTGGGCACGTATGTGTGTGTGCCCAAAATCCCAAGAGGAGAATGGAGGAGAAGGGATTATGGCATAGCCATCTCCCCTAGGGGGTGATTTCTTGCTTTCCGTCTGTCTGTATCTGTCTCTCCGGTGAGTTCTTGTGCACTATAGCAAAAACTCTCTCTGAAAAAGAAAATGTACACTATAGCATAAAAAGTTTACAAGACTGTAAACCAAAATATTATTGATTATCCTTGGATAATAGATCATTAGAATGGTTTATTAGTATATTCTCTTTGTATTCCAAATTTCCTGCAGTTTGAAATGAAAATTTTGAACCTTGATTAGAAAACTCTTGGCTGCAGTATGTATACTAAAACAACACTTTTGTTCAATGTGGGAATACAGTAAGTAGGTGGAAATATAGTAAGTAGGTGAAAAACGACAAGGGCTATGATGTGGAGGAAGGAGGAGGAAGGGAAAGGTGGCAGTAATTCCTGTGAGATAAAAGTATCTTTGGACACCAAGACTTCGTGTGTGTGATTGACCCAGTTGTGTGGCACTACTGTAGTGTGACACTACTGGATCAATCCGGTGTGGAATTAAATGGGGAAAACTTGAGATCAGCAGATGGTGTAATGGTTTTGTTGCTGGACTCTCACTTGGCCGACCACGGTCTTAGTCCTGGGCCACGCAGCTTGAAATTCAGTGACTTGAAACTCATGCCAGGAGCGTGTGCGTGCCTGCCCAAAATGCCAAGAGGAGAATGGAGGAGAAGGGATTGCAGCAAGACCATCCCCTTTGGAGGCTGATTTCTTGCTTTCTGTCTCTCTGGCAAGTGCACATACCCTGTAGCAAAAAAATCTCTCTAAAATGGGAAAGGCTAGAATTTTATGAAAGGTTTGGATTCTCTCTCTAAAACGTATGTACATACATGAGAATGTAAGCTGAAAATGATTTCAAATGACTTAATAGCGAAACCCACAGAGTGACTCCTAGAGCATGCTTTTCGATCATTTTCTTGTCATGGCACACACAGTGTTATTTGAATGACAGGCACATAGGGATAGAGGGGATTTGGGAGAATCCAGGGCTTGATCAAAAAATCTTTATGTTTTCTTTATGTGTTATAGGAAAAATAAAATATAGAGTATTAAGATATATTAAGTCTCTCTAGAAATTTTTCAAAAACCCTTTTTATCATTTTAAACTTGCTACCTTGAAAGAACTTTTTTTAAAAAATAATTATTTATTTAATTTTATTTATCATTATGATTATTTTTAAAATTTGCTACAAGGCATTCATGTTCACCAGAGAGAGACAGAGAGAGAGAGGGAAAGCGAGACAGCAAGCCGCCAGGTCCAGGACTTGAACCAAGATTAGACATGTAGGAGTCCAATGCCTTAACCACCATGTCACCTTCTGGCCCTGAAAGAACTATTTTAATACTTAGTTTTATGTTTAAAATGACTATATGTAGATGTGATTAGATTTTTAAAATGATGACTTCTTTTAATTACTCATAGAAGAAGGTAATTAAAGAAAATAATGAACTGGGCTGGCAGGTGGCAGGGTGGTTGGGGTATTGGACTCCCACATGGCCAACTGCAGTTTGAGTCCTGGAATGACCTGGTTGCTTGCTTTCTCACCTTCCCCCTGTCTCTGTCTCTCTGCCTCTCTGGTAAAATTAAAAAAAAAATTAAATGAATAATTCTTTAAACAATGGAACTACTTTTATATCTGTGCGAAAGCATAGACTATTTGGACACCCCTGTGGCCTGGTGGTTAATG